CCCAGTCTTCTTGGGAGCAGAGGAAAACAGTGTTCTTGCTCATTGTGTGATTGGGATTGGCTGGAAGGGGACCTGGGGACAACAGCCAGGGCTGGAGCTGTACCAGAAGGCTACATGGAAAGCTGTGATGCTGCTTGGGCTGAGTGACCCCACCCTTCCCAAGGGAGATGGTTTCCACGCGGGTTTCATCACAGACTGAGCCTCGAGTTAATTTAAGTGATACAAAGCAGATGAACGCTGTCCTCTTGGAGCAAGAGGGAGGAAGGCAACAACTGAGGCTACGGCACCCTTTGTTTCTCCCGGGGAAACTGACAGTGAAGTTCTAGGTGGGCAACATCTCCACAACTTGCTGTTGAAGGCCCTTATTCTTCCTCCACAGGACCTTCTCGGGAGCTCTCGGAGCCGTTCCCTGGGCAGTTGAGCACTGCAGCAGCGCCAAAGGCAGTGGTTTATGTCAGGCGTCTATCTCTGCTCTTCCCGTGGGTGCCTCCACGCTGTGTTAGCAGCTGCCAGAGTTTCTCTCTCAGGCAGGAACCCAACACCTTTGTTCCTGCTTGCGTTAATGCCCGTGTTTGTATCCCCGTGACTTTTCCTTTCTCCGACCTGTAACATCTGCGGCTTCAGATGTGAGGCCTCAGACGTGCACGGTTGTCTGGACCCAGACATCTCCGCTGGTGCTTGAAACGTTGCCAGCACATGTCCTAAATCTGCTCGGTATCTTTGCCTGTTGCTTTGCCCTTCTCCCTTTGATTTACTACTTCCTTGTCTACAGTTTTTAGCTGAGAAGTGATCTGATTCCTGGAGCTCCTCCTGTATCAAAATATGGCAGCTCTTCCAAGCGTGACTAGCTGCGTTGGGGCAGTTTGGGGGCTTGCTGGGAGCGAGGTTCTGCGTGAGAGCTTGCAGCGTGCAACGGCACCTCGATCAGCACACCGCCTCCTGGATGATGATCTCTGCCAACACGAACCCAGGCTCTTCCTGGCACCCTCCCAAGAGGGATTTGCTCACAGATAAGAAAGAACAAAGCAGGGGGGAAAGCACCCTTTTGGGGTGTGGGCTCACTTGGTCCTGATCCATGCAAAGCCCGGGGTCGAGTGGTGGCTTTAGGCAGCCAAGCTCTCCTTGAGCCCAGCCTGGTGTGGAGCTCAAATCCTGCTTGAACAGGGTTTGCTTCTGCATCTGCCCTAATGCCGTCCAGGCACGCGGGGAGGAACTTGCAGGAAGAGCTGTCGTCGCCTGGCGCCTGTCCAGGGCTCTGCTCCCAAAGCCCCGGGCGAGGATGCATGTGGGCTCTCGCTCCATGGCTGTTAGTATGTACAAAGTTGGATCACGCCTTTCTGGACGGAGCAAAACGGGACGTGCGTCAGGAAGAGCCTTTCCCCCGACTTGGGGAGATGCAGGGAAGAGCCGCGGTCTTGGGAGATGAAGAGAGGCTCTCGAGCTGTTTTGTGAACTGCTGCTTTTCTTCAAGCTCGCTCTCCAGCCCAGCTGCTTCTTGCAGACCCATCCTGCAATTTCTTACTCCCCTTGTTTCTCCTTTTTGCCACCAGCCTCTGATTTCTGGCCTGCCCTCCCTCAAGAAGGGGCTTTTGGCAGGCGGGGAGGCTCCTGTCATGCCAATGAACATCCATCGGGAAGCCTTCCAGCCTCCCGTTGGATTCAGCCGAAGCTGACTCCCAGCAGAGCTCCCCAAACGCCAGTGGCCTGCGCGCTGACCTGGGATGAACCGCTAAACCGCAGCCGGCCCCGTCCGTTCCCTCGGCTTTGGCAGGGAGCAGAAACAAGCTGTTTTCTGTCCCCTTTCCAAACGGCTCCGCTCGCTCTCCGCAGGGGGAGGCTGGACAAGGTCCAGCTTGTTCCTCGGAGCTGAGCTTGCAAGGTTTGCCCTTTGTCCGCCCCACTGGCAGGCGCAGCGGGGCAGGGAGGGGAGGACGAGGCAGGACCCGGCGGGGATGGGGCAGCAGCGCTGCTCTGGGTAAAGAGGGGTGGACAGAGGGACAAGGGACATTGGACAGGAAGGAGCTAAGGAAGGTCTTGGTTTGAGCTGATCTAATAAAATTTCCCGAATTTAAGCCCTCTTGCCTCCCGCTCGTTTCCAAGGCTGGAGCTGTCCTGCTGCTTTGTGGCTGTGCCGCGCTGGTGGGAG